AGACAGGTCCGATCTCAGAAGCAAGTTGCTGGAAGACTGCTCAGGTAAGCCTGCACTTTTCCAAACGTGGTGATCTGTAATGTATTGCTTGGATTTGTATTCCTCTATAGCTGATGGTACATTGTGCTGTAAATTATACAGAGGAATACAAATCCCAGCAATACATTATACACTGTATGTATAATGTATTGCTGGGATTTGTTGTACTCTGGTGGTACAAAAACCCAGCAATAGTACATTATACAGCACAATGCAGAATACCACCAGCTATAGAGGAATACAACAAATCCCAGCAATAGTACATAATAGCTGGCGGGATTCTGCATTGCGCTGTATAATGTACTGTTGCTGGGTTTTGTAGTCCTCTATAGCTGGTGGTATTCAGCATTGCACCACTGTACAATGTATTATTGCTGGGATTTGTTGTAGTCCTCTATAGCTGGTGATATTCTGCATTGCGCTGTATAGAGGACAACAAATCCCAGCAATAATACATTATACAGCACAATGCAGAATGCCGCCAGCTATTATGTACTATTGCTGGGATTTGTTGTGCTCCTCTATAGCTGGTGGTGTTCTGCATTGTGCTGTATAATGTACTATTGCTGGGTTTTGTAGTCCTCTATAGCCGGTGCCATTCTGCATTCATTGCTGTATAATTTTACACTTTCCATTTCACTATATTGCACACCACACTATCTTTTTTTTCTTTTTTACTTCCACCGCTCCAAGCTTGCTACTGTGATGGACTACAACCTCAATACAAACTAGTAGTCCCATCACTGGAGCAATTTTTTAAACTTTATTTTATTGTTTATCCGATTAACCGATTAATCGAACCTAATAATCGGCTAACTAATCGATTTTGAAAATAATCGTTAGCTGCAGCTCTAGGCTTATCCTGGGCTGGCTGGATTCTGGTATGTCCAATCCTCTTGTAGGTCGCAGTATAACCTGAAAGTATATGACTTCATCTGTCTCCTAATGGACTTCAAACAGAGGATTTTAGAGTATAAATATTCTATGTTTAGTTTTGGATAGCATAGGGAAAGGTTAATACCGCTGTCAGGATTTTTTTCCCATTGGGAATATTCTTGTCCGGTAGACACAGCATGAAGTTGGTCCAGTTTTCTTGCTGCTGTTGTATCTTTTGCTCTAAATTTCCATGTGTGATATGATGCCATGTCATCCTCAATGTTCCTGTTTTACAGTGAAAGGTCGGACCAACCTTAAAATTAACGAGAAATACCTCTCCCCTGAATTCTCTCCGTCCACTGGGAAGTGTTCAGGGAGCCAGTCCGCATCGAAGGGGATGTCTCCCAGCAGGTCGAATTCCAGCCTGACTCTGTACACCAGTGCCTCGGCCCCCAACAGTCCGCAGACCAGAAAGGTGAGAATCCCGCCAGAATGTTAGAGGAGGGGGCGAGAGGAACAAAATGGATGGTTGTCTATTCAGTGTTATAATTCAAAAAGATACTTGGGGAATATTTTGATACAGAGAATTAGTGGAGCTGCCATTGTAGGGGTAAAAAAGAATATCTTCCTTCATCCCAGATTTCTTCTATATTGTCTTTTCTAAAACTGAAGAATATTTGTATACAGGGCGGGATTTACTCTCTCTGCTGCCCCAAGGTCAGGTTCCTCAATACGCCCCCCTACCTGCCAAACCTCCCCCATGGAGGATGGGACAGACCTGCAGGCTGCATCGCCGGAATCACTTGTACAGAACAAGCGGCGGCTTCCCCGCTCTACATTTAGCCCCGCTTGCCCAAAGCAGGGCTAAATATAGAAAACAGCTACCCGCCTGGCATTCGGAACTGCATGTCCCAGGCTTTGGGAGATAGAAATTCCACATCCCTGCTGCCCCTCTACTCCCAGCTGCCCGGGGCCGGGCCTTGGTTGACCTTGTGGGAAATCCAGCCCTGTTTGTATATTGTCTATAACAATATTTGTATATTGGTTTTTATTGCTGTTTGTGTCCCTGTTAGAGAGATCGGGGTGACCATTATCACTGAAAGGAAATCCCAAATTTTGGGTTGTCATCAGAACAGGAATAGACGGGAAATCTTCCAATGGAGACACTAGTTCTGGTGACCACCAGGGATTTCCCTTTCATGGGATGGATTTTCTTTCACTTCCTGTAAAGTGAAATCTCCCCAATGGAACACAGATGGCAAAAAAAAACCTGACAGGGGTTGTAGCCCTCCCTTATTCTATCCAAAAAAAAGTTTTGGCTTTGGTTCTACTTTAAGAGTAACAAGGTTGGAGCCCTCAACTCCATATGTTTAAACAAAAAAAATTACTTAAAAGTTCTGTGACTGACTTTCTTCAAAATTGATTAACACAAGCATACAAACAACTGAACACGGAATTACAATAATAAAACTTATAATTATTAACGGTCTATTAAAAGTCATGAACCGGCTCCAAATGGACCGTACATAGAATATTTCAACAATGTAAGGTAATATTTCACTGCAGCCAAAGTCACGGGCCATCAAATTCCAGAATAAAGATTTAGAGGGTTATTCGCTGCTGAGCCGAAGGATACAGCCGTAGCTTCGGCTAATCCTTTGGCTCACTTCAGTCGCCGGAGCCCTTGGGATCAGCCGAACTGCAGGGCTGCTGTACGGGCTATTCACAATACAGCAGCCGAAGGTAACTGAACAGCTCAGCCGAGCCGAACGCATATGCTTTGGCTGAGCCGCAAAATGTAAACAAATAGAAATAAAAACCCCGGTGTGGGGTCCCCATCCTGATCCATACCAGACCCTTTAGGTCTGGTAGAAATGTTAGTAGGGACCCCAAATTAGAAAGTTAAAAAAAAAAGTGCGTGGGGTTCCACACAAAAGTCATATCAGGCCCTTTCCCGACCAGACCCTTTATACGAGCACAAGGTGCGAACCGATCGCGCTGTGGGTGCCATTATTTTCTAATGGCACCCCAGTCACGCCGGGCGGATTGCGCGGTATTCCGCCCGTGCTTATGAACAGCTAAAACAGCCGCGTGTCGTGTATCGCAAAAAAAAAAAGTACTTGTACCTTTTTTCTGCGATTGCCGCACGGATGTCACCCCATTGATATCAATGGGGCCGCGCGGAAATCGCTGCCTGCATTGTGCAAGGGACGCGCGTCCTGGGTGTCGTGCGGTTTAGCGTAGGTGTGAACCTGGCCTCACGTGGTTTAGTGTTCTCCCCAGGTTTAGATACATAAGACCAAAAGATAGTACTGTTCACGTTACAAAACAAGTCTGCGGGTCATCAAGAAACATTTAGTATATGACACAATTATTGGGATATTCCTCTTCAGGCATGTATATAGAAATATACTGTTCACGCTAACAAAGCCATCGGCCATTCTAACCACAGGAACCCATGCAGCGTGTGACGTGGGTCATGTACCGTGTGAAAATATAACTACACAAGCAGACTATTATTCAGTAAAGTCCTCCACAGGCGTGCTGACCTTGTACAGTATATACAGTATGTACAACACAGCCTTGGGAAGTGTCATCTGTTAATGCTGATCTTGTACATTGTAACAAAAAAGAGGTCATCTGTTTGCTTCTATGTGGACACGGTGCCTTTTATATTGGCAAAACCATCAGGGAATTGTAAAAAGAAGTTTAAAGGAGAACTATGAGGTGAGTGCTTTTCACTCACCTCATAGTTCTAGCCGACATGTGACAATGAGACTGTTGCAGGTCGGCTCAGTAGATCGGGAGGTGAGCGAACACATACCGGCGTTCGCTCACCTCTCGATCCTGTCACGGCTCTGTGCTGTGACGGGGGAGGGCTGGATTCCCCTCTTCCCGCTCCGATCCTCCAGCGCTAACTGGCGGAACGGACGGGGGAGGGGGCGGGTACAGCTGGCTCTGCCTCTAGATAGGCAGAGCCAGCTGTCAGTCACGCAGCTGGGCGGATCCAGACATAGCTGGCAAAACAGGTAGGAGAGCCCAAGTTCATATTCAGCGGCTCCTTAGGGGGTGAGCGCTACATTTGCTTTTGTCAAGTTTGGTATAAAGTAGAGATGCACCGATACCGATACTAGTATCGATGCCGAGTATTTGGGCAAGTACTCGCCCAAATGGTCCGATGCCTGGCCTGATACTTCTGGTATCAGGGGGCCGAGCAGCGCGTCATTATACGCTGCCCGGCTTCCTGATTGGCCGGGAAGCCGGCTCCATGCTCCCTCGTGACAAGGGAGCATGGAGCCGGCTTCCCGGCCAATCAGGAAGCCGGGCAGTGTATAATGTCTCGCTGCCCAGCTTCCTAATTTGTCGCTAGGTGACGAGAAAGCATGGAGCCAGCTTTCTGGCCAATCAGGAAACCGGGCGCTGTGTAATGACGCGACGCCCAGCTTCCTGATTGGCCGGGAGGCCGGCTCCATGCTCCCTCGTCATGAGGTGACGAGGGAGCATGAAGCTGGCTTTCTGGCCATTCAGATAGCCGAGCGCCACGTCATTACACGGCGCCCGGCTTCCTGATTGGCCAGCTTCCTGGCCAATCAAGAAGCCGGGCAGCATGTAATGACCCGCTGCCCAGCTTCCTGATTGGTCGGGAAGCTGGCTCCATGCTTTCTCGTCACCTAATGACAAGAAGCATGGGGACGGCTTTCCTGCTAATCGGGAAGCCAGGTGGCGAGGCTTCCTCAATGGGACTTCCAGTACTCGGTATTCGGGTATTGGCGAGTACCGAAAAAAAATATCGGTACTCATTCTCGATACCAAAATACCGGTATCAGTGCATCCCTAGTATAAAGCTTTATCAATGGAGATTATAGCCGTATATCACTCCAGAATGGCACTCATGGACAGGTGGTTAAAGTGCTTACCTTCCCCTTCCTCTCCATATAAATGCCCATCCACTTAGCCATTGTAGCCTTACCCCTGAGGAAGCCTGCCACAGGTAAAACCTATCAAGTTGCACTGGCTTTATCTCTGTGGAGGGCCTTGCCTTGCTACCACATATTATATCTCACCAGATGCTTGCCTACATACAGCTTTGGTGGAGTTATAGCTCAATCGTGTGCCACTAAGGTTTTCCTATGCCTCAGCGCTCATCTGCTCATGTGTCCAAAAATTTCAGAATTGCAAGGTCCAGGTCATCTCTGATCACAGATGAGGCAGCCTTAAAGTTCTTAGCAGCTGAAAACCGCACCAATTCCACCTCAATAATTAATAATTAATTACTATTCAGTAATAACTAGTCCAGTGTTGGAGTTATGGTACTCACATTTCCTGGAAAAAACACTGGCAGTATGGGTTATACTGGTCATCCCATGGTCTATATCCCTCAATTTCCAACTATACTGGTCATCCCATGGTCTATATCCCTCAATTTCCAACTATACTGGTCATCCCATGGTCTATTATCTCCACCTTTACTCTGTACTGGTCATCCCATGGTCTATATCCCTTGCCTTCCCTTTATACTGGCCATCCCATGGATTACGGCCCTCATCTTCCCTTTATACTGGTGGTCCCATGGTCTATATCCATCACCTTTCCTGTAAACTGGTCATCTCCTGGTCTATATCCCTCACCTTCCCTCTATACTGGTCACCCCATTGTCTATATATTTCACCTTCCCTGTATACTGGTCGTCTCATGGACTATATCCTTCACCTTCTCTATATACTGGTCATGCTATGGTCCATATCCCTCACTTTTCCAACTTGCTGACCACTTTGTACAGAACTCAGTGTTTCATATCTGTGCACACACGTTCCTATGGAACTTGGACTTACGAAGAATGGAATTAGTCACTGGAACATGCTTTATATTTCTTATATGAGGATTTGCACTATTAGAGCATTACCAGATGACATTTTCCAAGACTGTGTTGTACATACTGTATATGTACACGATCAGCACGCCTGTGGAGGACTTTACTGAATAATAGTCTGCTTGTGTGGTTATATTTTCACACGGTACATGAACCACATCACACGTTGCATGGGTTCCTGTGGTTGGAATGGCTTTGTTAGCATCAACAGTATTTTTCTACATATATATGCCTGAAGAAGAATATCCCAATAATTGTGTCATATACTGAATGTGTCTTTGAGGCTCACGGACTTGTTTAGTAATGTGAAGCGTGCTTCTATATATTGGTCTTATGGACCGAAACTTGGGGTGAACACTAAACCACATGAAAGTTTATGAAATCAAAATCCTTATTCTTTGGGAACTTGATGGCTTTGGCTGCGGCGGTGAACTCTTGCCTTGCACTATATGAACTATTGTATGTACATTTCAGTTGGAGAGCCTGAGTTTGCCCAAAGTTTATTACTTCTTTTGAACAAGGTTTTTACTAGACCATAAGAGATATTGGTTATATTATCATAATTCCTTGTTTAGTTCCTTCTATGCTTTTGTTGATCATTTCACGTTCTTTGGATCATTTCCAAAGAACGTGAGTCCATCAAACTGTTAAGAATTGTTTCTTATATACTGCTTTATAAATATTAAATTATAATATGTTGTACCTGCTTCTTAATACATATTACATCCACCTTCAACACTCTCCCAGGCTGTCCTTCGGAGAACCCGATCCGGCGACCGATGTCAAAGGTCCAGGTCATCTCTGACCACAGATGGGGCGGACTTAAAGTTCTTAGCAGCTGAAGACGGCACCAATTCCACCTCAACAGGTCAGTAATGGCTAGCCTTGTGTTAGAGGTAGCCTCCTGTCCTGGGAAAAAAAACCCACTGGCAGCATGGGCTATTTCCCATCAATAGCATGGACAGGTTACACTATACATCAGCCAAGTGGCAACCCAAGTTAAATATCTTTCTTTTTCCTTTATACTGGCCATCCCATGGTCTATAGCCCTCGCCTTCTTTGTAAACTGGTCAGTCCATGGCCGACAGTATATCCCTCACCTTCTCTGTATACTAGTTGTCCTAAGTTCTATATGCCTCACCTTCTCTGTATACTGGTCGTCTCATGCTCTATATTATCATTATACAGGATTTATATAGTGGCAACAGTTTGCGCAGCGCTTTACAATATAAGGAAGACATTACAATTACAATTCAAGACAAGATGGTAAGGAGGGCCCTGCCCCTGAGGTGAAAAATGTGAAATCTGCGCTTATGGAAGGGTTAAGTGTTAAAGCTGCTGCGCTATAGTTTTTAACAACAATGAAATAATGAGTGTGCAGCGCTGCACACTCATTATTCCCTGCCCCTGAGGGATTACAATCTAAAAGGGAGGTGGAAGTGATACATGAGGAGATAGCTGTGTGGGGATGAATTGTTTGAGACCTTCCCTGTGTACTTGTTGTCCTATGGTCTATATCTTTCACTTTGCCTTGATACTGATCATCCCATGATCTGTATCCCTCACCTTTCCTGTATAATGGTTGCCCCATGGTAACCTTCCCCGTATACTGGTCATCCTAAGGTCTATATCCCTCACCTTCCTTGTATACAGGTCATCCCATTCACCTTCCCTCTATACTGGTCGTCTCATGCTCTATGTTCCTCACCTTCCCTCTATACTGGTCGTCTCATGCTCTATGTTCCTCACCTTCCCTCTATACTGGTCGTCTCATGCTCTATGTTCCTCACCTTCCCTCTATACTGGTTGTCTCATGCTCTATGTTCCTCACCTTCCCTGTGTATTGGTTGTCCCATGGTCACATTCCCTGTATACTTGTCATCTCATTGTTTATATCCCTCACCCTTCCTATATATTGGTCATCCTATGATATATACAGTATACAGGTGAAACTCGAATAATTAGAATATCGTGCAAAGTTCATTTATTTCACTAATGCAACTTAAAAGGTGAAACTAATATATGAGAGAGACTCATTACATGCAAAGCAAGATAGTTCAAGCCGTGATTTGTCATCATTGTGATGATTATGGCTTACAGCTCATGAAAACCCCAAGAACCCCAAATCCACAACCTCAGAAAAGTAGATTATTACATGCAATCAATAAAACAAGGATTGTACATAGAACAATATCAGACCTCTGAAAAGTACAAGCATGCATATGTACTCAGTACTTGGTTTGGGCCCCTTTTGCAGCACTTACTGCAATTACTTTTGCACGATATTCTAATTATTCGAGTTTCACCTGTATATATCTACCTTCCCATTTCTGAAACCCTAAAACTTGACCTAAGTCCTAACAAAAGTGCCTTAGCTAAACCCCGGTAGGATTTGGTATGCAGTAAATTTATAGAACTGGTGGAGGGTCTGAAAAATTTTGCAGCTGGTCATTCAATTCCTACAGGAGTCGTGGTAAGACACATCCATTAAGCTCCTTTCTTCTCTGCAGGGAATATTTTACACCAGGGTTGGGCAACTCCAGCCCTCCAACTGTCCTTTAACTACAAATCCCAACATGCCTCTGCCTCTGGGAGTCATGCATGTAACTGTCAGTCTTGCAAAGCCTCATGAGACTTGTAGTTCCATAACAGCTGGAGGCCGGAGTTGCCCACCTCTGTTCTACACCTCAGCCTCTGACCTTGACCTCTTGTCTTCTATTCCAGATAAAACGGACGCTCCTCCGACATGACCTCCTGTGACCTCTGTCCCCCCCCGGGAAGCTCATCATACTCCAGATCTGCCGAATAGGAATCTCTGGGCTGGCCCATAGCATGGCAGATAATGCTCCTGACATCTGCTTGTCGAGAGGCCTCTGGCAATGGAGGCGACCATGACACTCTGAGACTTGGGGGCTCCAGAGAGTCAGACTTGTTGCCTCTCCATGGAGCTCAATGAGAATGGGGGTCACCGCCGCGTGACATACTGAATGACTGCGTTGTGTGTGAATGAGGTGACATCACTCAGCTTCAAGAATAATACTTGCCGATACTCTGCCAGAAGATGCCAGCTCCCCATACCGCCAATTCAGCATTGGAGCTTGCTCAATATGGGAGAGTACAATTTCTTTTATGTCCATTGAGGGACACGGGAAGTGTTCCAGCTTTGGGTTACACTGTTGCATTTAGGAGGATGGTCTATATATTTAGGAGGATTGGACACTGGCAAAGTAAAAAGAACTGAAGGCCCGCCCAGGATAACCCCTCCTACTATCAGCATGCCTCAATTTTTGCTGGTGTTTTAGGAGGATGGACCTCTTTTCTGCAGTTCTGCTGCATTAGAGGCTTACTTTTTTTTTTGCTAGCACCTTTTTTTTTTCAGGTTACACTGAATTCTCATTCTACCATTTCTAGGCGGCTCAGACAGACCATCATCAAAGCTTATGGTCTCAAGGACCGGCTTCCACCCTTTCCTGTCAAGGCGCACTCTACTAGATCTGCGAGTGCTTCCTGGACTTTTGCAAGGCTGTCACCTGGTCTTCTGTTCACACGTTCTCTAAATTCAACCAGGTGGATGTTACGGCCATCTGATGGCAGCTTTGGGCGTAAGGTCCTTCAGGTGGCTTTTTGAACTGCAGGTAGTCCCCAGTTCTCTGCTGTTTTCTAGGGCTTGTTGGCTTTTACTGGGTTGCCCACCCCTCAGGTGGACTAGATTTGGACATCCCAAAGTTAAAGACTTCATGTGTTCCTCAATGGACCAGAAAGAAAATAGGATTGTTGTACTCGCGGTAAAATCCTTTTCTTGGCGTCCATTGAGGGCCCCCTCCCTTGTGTGTTTCCAGTATGATCATGTTCTCGGCATTGCTTGTGACAGACTGGGTAGAGCAGGGGTTAACCTGGGCTGGCCTTCAGATTTTTTTGTTTGCCAGTGTCCAATCCTTCTGAAGGTCCTTTCTGTGTCTCCCAATGGACTCCAAGAAAAGGATTTTATGATGAGTACAAAAATCCTAATACTTCAGCATGAATGAAAGTGGAAAGCCACACATGGGTGCCGCACCATAGATGTGCATTCTGCACTCTTGTTAAATATAACAATGTCCTGTATTTATGAATCCATAAAAGCAAAGAGAACTGAATTCATAAATTCACATTTAATTGTAAAAATAGTGCCCACCACAACTTTTCATTGTCATCTCTGTAAGCACTTAGTAGCATCAAACCTCCAGGCCAAATACTGGTGAGTCTTCTGTCATCGTTCCTGTACTGAGCTATTGGGGATAATGAAACTCATTAACTTTTCATCAGAAAACTGAGAGCACAAAAATTCCAAAATTAGATTTTTCACTCACAATTTTCCACTTTTAAACCTCAGCATCCTCAGGACACAGATACAAGCAGTATGCAGAGACCCTATCCTGAGGACACAGAGACCACGTCCCCAGTATGCCAAGACCCCACCCTCAGTATGCAGAGACCCTATCTTCAGTATGCCAAGACCCCATCCCCAGTAGGCAGAGACCCCATCCCCAGTACATCAAGACCCCGCCCCCAGTATGCCAAGACCCCATCCCCAGTATGCCAAGACCCCACCCTCAGTATGCAGAGACCCTATCTTCAGTATGCCAAGACCCCATCCCCAGTAGGCAGAGACCCCATCCCCAGTACATCAAGACCCCGCCCCCAGTATGCCAAGACCCCATCCCCAGTATGCCAAGACCCCATCCCCAGGATGCAGAGACCCTATCCTCAGTACATCAAGACTCCACCCCCCAGTATGTAGAGAACCCATCCCCAGTACGCAGAGACCCCATCCTCTGTACGCAGAGAACCTATCCTCAGTACACACAGACCCTATTGTCAGTACACCAAGACCCCACCCGCAGTATGCAGAGACCCTATCCTCAGAATGCAAATACCCCATCCCCAGTATGCAAAGACTCCATCTACAGTATGCAGAGACCCCCATGTTCAAGACAAATAGACCCCTTCCTCGCTATGCAGAGACCCTATCCTTGGTATTCAGACACCCGATCCTCGGTACACAGAGACCCTTTCCCCAGTAATCAGAGACCCCATCCTCAGTACACTGAGACCCCATTCTCAGTATGCAGAGACCCCATCCTCAATACACAGAGATTTCATCTTCAGCACACAGAGACCCCATCCTCAGTACACTGAGAACCCATTCTCAGTATGCAGAGACCCCCATCCTCTATACACAGAGACCCCATTCTCAGTATGCAGAGACCCCATCCTCAATACACAGAGATTTCATCTTCAGCACACAGAGACTCCATCCTTGGTACACAAAGTACTCAGACACCCCATTTACAGTACGAAGAGACCACATCCTTAGTATACAAAGACCCCAAAGGGATGTATTGGATCTTTGCAGAAATATTACTGCTTTCACACAGAGAACAAGGCTCCTTCTATGCCGCATGCTGGCAGGGGCAGGCTTTTCTTCTCAGGCTGTGGCTGCTTTATAAATAACAAACTATAAGACTTTGCACATGTTTTTGTTTTGAAGGAAGAGGAAGGGTGAGAGACTGGGAATAAAGACGGCCCTCAAAGAGGAAGTGCTTGGAGGCCAGTAAGAGAAATGGGACTGGAGAGGAGGGACATGATTGTCAGTACAGGGAGAAGGTCAGGAAGAGAAGTCAGGAAGGTGTGTTGTGGAAGCATGAGCAATGGAGGCCAACAAGAGAAGGAGAGGCCAGTGACTAAGGGTGCATAGGACAGTCCACATCTCAGGACGGTGGTCAAGTGTGGGGTTAGGAAGGTCAGGAGTTTATGGCACAATGATGAGGTTGATGGAATAGGTATGTGTAAGATGGCAATATGGAATGCAACATAAATGGCAATATAAGCAGGAAATGATGTAATTTCCTGTGTGGTCACACCATTGTGAAAGACAGTTTCAGCAATAGTATAATGTTATATAAGAGTTCAGTGAACTGTTCAACTAGTTTCTCTCAAAAATGGTGTGTCCTGGGAACGGGAGTGACGTGAGACGAGATGAAGAAAGTGATCAGATGGAAACTGTTTGGGATTATCTTATGGAGCCTGGAAGTGGAGTCAGATGACCTCCTGGCAGCATATTGACCTTACACTGACCATCACCTCTCCAGTATAGGACCCGTCACCAGCCACATGCCCGTAGAAGGCCCATTTGAGGAATTACACTTCCAGTCCTGACACCCAGCTGCCATGGCAGAGAAGATGAATGATCCTGAAATGGTCCCTTGTGTTTTGGAATCTCATGTTGACCTCAGGCAGCCATGGGCTCTTTTCTGCCAGGGTCCTCGGTAGTGATAAATGAAGGACGGAGAATATCTGAGTCATCTCTTACACTGTGATTTGAAGGATTTGGATCCACTAATCTTCCTTTATTTAGTGTTACAAATGAAATATCTAAAAATGTAAATCCATCTTTACGAATGCATACAGAGTCCTATCCCCATAGACAGAGGGTGTTGAGCATGTCTTGCCATGTGAGGACCCAACACACCCCCCATCCTCCTTTTCCTCTGCATCCCTGAGATGCAGAAGAGCCTGGGGCCCGTCAGCTCTAGGTTTGGGCACCCCCTCCTATAATGCCCATCTGGTGTTGAAGGTTATATGGGTTGGTACCAGAATAGATATGGGGTTTACTGGTGTACAGTAAGGGGGGAGTGGGGATATTGGGGTATAATAAAAGGACAGAGAGAGATTGCGGTACAATTAAGGGAATTTGGGAACACTTGAAGGACAGAGAGACTGTGGAAAAATAAAGGGACAGAGAGGGATTTGGGTACAGTTAAGGGAATTTGGGTATACTTGAGGGACTGGGTTACAATAAAGGGAGTTTGGGTACAACAGAGGGAGAATTCAGAAACAGTAGAGGGATAGAGGAAGATTTGGGGACAAAAAGAGGGAGAAAGGAGGGAAAGGGGTACAGT